AAACGAGTCAATTTGGTACAATTGTCTAAAAAAGAAACAATTGCGTCAAATTGATCTGTTAAAATTCTCACCCAAACGACCCCTAACTCATGTGTTGCACATTAATTGAATATTTATATTAATTATTAATTGTTAATTAATTGATTAATTATAAAGTACAATATGTAAATGTGAGGACAACCTAGGAATGTTAAAAGTTTATGAGTGTATATGGGTAAAATCTTATCATGGATTTATTGCATGTTCCAAATACCACATCAACATGTGGGATTTACGAGTCTGTGGGGTCCACAAATTTGGAGAATTACTATTTGTCGCCCTAAAATTTCAAATTTTATCGCCCTAAATTAAAAAATAGACACATTTGTCCCTATCCCCAATTTCTAACCTAACTTTAGATGAACAATCTCGCCGGCCACCACAAATACCGGATTCTACTCCCCAGTCATCATCTTCCATCACCCACATCATCGATCGGGATGAGCAAGCAAAGAGGAGGAGAAGAGAATAGTCGGGGGTTACCGTCCCTACACCTAGCTTCAACACCATCATCTACAACGACCCCATTCCGCTCCTCGACTAGAAATCCACTCCGCCGTCCTCTGCTTCTTACTCGACAAGATTCACTTTCTCATAACTAGAGCTTCAACATGACAGGATATTTGCAGGGATCTTTCAAGAAGCATAAGCAAGAGAAAGGGAATTAACCCTCGCAATGAGGGTTCATTGAAAAGGCATACAGAGCTCTGTGAAATTATGAGCTAAAGAACTTTTGATTAATTGAAAGGAAATGGTCCTTCCAGACAGAAGCGATGAATCAGAAGAGAGGAGAAAACCCAGTTGCAAAATTGATTTATCAACACATGGAGGAACTTCTTTTTCTTCTGTTACTCCCTCTCCCTACTCACACCCAGATCGGTGAATCCCCCCACAACTTCGCCTACAATTCCACCTTCCAATTCCGATAACAAGAACCAAAAGCACCTCAAATTGGGACTCACATTCGCGACCCTTCTTTCTTCTGTGCATGCCTCATGATCTTAGGCTCAACTCAATCAATTTGTGATTAAATTAAGAAGTTTCGATTTGGGATTTAGGGTTTTTTCATTTGAAGAAGAAGGATAAAAGGAAGGCCACCGAAGCAGAGCGGTGATGCTGATCGTCAGGCGAGGCGAGCAGAGCAGAGCAGAGGAGACCACCGAAGTAGAGCAGCGCCGCTGATCGTCGGGAGGGGCGAGCAGGAGTAGAGGGAGGTGGCAGCTCGTTGGGGAAGACAGAGGGAGAGGGAAGCACTCTAACGTTGGGTGAACTTTAGGGCGATTTATTTTTGGGGGCAAAATCGTACATTCAGTATAGTTTAGGGCGATTTATTTAAAAACTTAGGGCGTTAAATAGGAATCCGGCAAATTTGGACCCCTAAAATCTGTGGTTCCCACTTATTTGGTCCCTAAAAAATGGGGTTAATTGCATGGTTGGTCACTGAGATTACAAAAAACGTTCATGTTTGGTCACTGAAAATATTTAAATTCGTTCGTGGTCACTCTAATTAGTTCAATGGGTCAAGTATGGTCACTCTCCGTTAGCTTCCGTTAGTCTTCGTTAACACCGTCAGTTAATTGCTGACATGGCTAACATAAATGTAGAATCATCCAATTTTACTCAGAGAAAGTTAAAATATAACCTGCCACATCATAAAACCCCTCCACATCATATAATCCCAACCCAATAACCCGACCTACACAAATCAAAATTAAAATAATTCTAAAAACACTGAAACTCCCCTTCACTTAGTCGCTCAACTCCCAGAGACCTTTATGTTTTCTCAATCCTTCCTCTTCCAAAACCATCGTCACCGATCTTCCTCCGATTGCTACTCCGGCAACACCATCGATAACAAGCCCAAGAACTCCGACCCGCCGGACAACGACCTCCAACTCCAAACTGCATGGGTTCATCAATGCGAGGAGCAAATCCGCTCGACGTAGACCCAACCATCGTTGCCAGCTGCCATAAATCCAGAACATCGTCGGAGCAGATATGCTCGATGAGGGCGGCCCAACCATTTCTCCCACAAAACAATACCACCGATGGAGCATATCCTACTATTACTTTCTCCCTCCTGTAATGTTCTCCAACCCAGGCACAAAGAGGAAGAAGCAGTCGCACAATCCAGAGATGCCAATAATTATCAAAAGACGAAAGCGTTGGATTTGGGAAGAAGAAATCAACTTCTTCCTCTTGATTTTTCCTCCAACCAATTCGTTATAGCTCTTTCTCTTCTAAGCTCATGAATCCCACATCGACATTAGATTGAAGAAAAGCATGCGGATTGAATCCCTCCCGTCCCAAACGCCCAACAAAAGAGCACCCTTCTCCTTTTGATCCAAACTCTCCCCGACCCTCTCCAGTCAAAAGACCCATCCCGTTAGTCTCCACCGAGATCCCCAATAGTTACAGCAGCAAGCTTGTCCTTGCTATCCGGACGTCACGCTTCGTTACCAAGGCGGCCAAACTCACGTCCCTCTGTCCAGTGCTCCTTCTCCTTCTCCACTAAATTACCTAGCTATTCCCCTTCGCAATTTCATCCTGATTCACCCTAGTTGTTCCGACAGATTCGCCTCCTGCCCATCAATCCCTCGGCTTCCTCTATTTTATCTGAATGGAAAAAAACACTATCCCCAGGGAATGACGGATCTGCTTCTCCTCAACTTTTCATCTTCCGGAAAAGCGAAGGCGGCAACAAGGAGGGAGTTGAAGCTGGCGCGCCGTCGTTGGTTAGTGAGATTGGAGAGGGAGTGGGATCGACGATGAGAGAAGAATGATGTTTCTTCCAGTTCTCTTCTCCATCGAGGGATTTTGGAAATTAGTCAATCTTGGGTTTTAATTTGGGGTAGGTTGGGTCATGGATTAATGGGTCGGGTCACATTGGTTAGGTTTTTATGATGTGGCAGGTTTTTAATGATGTGGCAGGATTGAATTTTATTTTATTTTTGTCAAAAATAGGTGACTAGGTGAGTCGGTTAGCCACGTCAGCAAATAACTGACGGTGTTAATGAAAACTGACGGAAGATAACGGAGAGTGACCAAACTTGAACCATTTAACTAATTTGAGCAACCACTAATGGATTTAAATATTTTTAGTGACCAAACATGAACGTTTTTTGTAATCTCAGTGACCAACCATGCAATTAACCCCTAAAAAATGTGTAAGCAAATAATGGTTTTTCCTTAAATCCATGATGAATTGGATTTGGGTACCAAATCCACGAAGCAAACGATCCATTAAATGTTGATGTTATTTGTTGGATTCAAGTATAAACGTTTAGATATTGATGTTAAATGTTGTATTTTAATATGAGTATTTGTAATTTTATTAAGAGTTTCTCATTTTATTAAATATCATATGAATTGTAAGTAAATTGTCTTCAAATTTATTTTATATATGATTAAATTCATTTATTGTTAATGATATTTCACATTTGTACATATTTTGTTAAACTGGCATGAACCGGCACATACCGGTTGTACCACTGGTCGAACCATTCTACTTGCTAAACCAACACAACGGTATAAAGAGGTTTGACAATCTTTATGTAATTGTCATGTTTAAATTTTAAGTTTAAACTAAACCAAACACAACTCTATTCTCTCTCCTACCTCACCGCCAAACCTTCTTTACCACCGACCTTCGGTCTTCCAGTCGCCGGCCTTTGTGCTCCTAGCCGCTGTCGCAGCCAATCTTCCCCATCCTCTGCCATCCCTCCTCGAGACCGCTCAAACCATCATCTTCTTCCGCCTTCCATGGCCATTGCATCTCAGCCCGATCTCGCCGCTGCAAAGAAGTAGGAAGAGAATAGAAGCTTGCGGAAGCAAAAGAATCTCGTTGCCGCTGCAAAGATGGGGGAAGGGAAGTGTGCGGATTAGGAAGAAGCGGGAAGAGAATGAAGAAGGAACCCAAACGCTCCTTCCACCCCGCCCTGACATCGCCGCCTCTTTACCTGGCCGGAGAAGAAGACGGCTGCTGCTCTCTGCATATATGACAGTCAACCGAAGTCAAACCTTCGTTTGCCCAGTGTCCAAATCATTTTTTGGTTTGGTCCTCTTTTTTTACATAATTATTTTTTAATTGTAATTTGATTTAAATTGGTTTGATCTTCACGCCATTTCTTCCAACTATCGACTACGGGGTTGGTTCCACCTGTTAGATTCTGAAACACACTGAAACCTAGCGTAAACCATACCTTTCGGAGCTCAAATGCCACAAATGCCAAAGATAAATGGGGATCAAAAGTGTACATTTAGACCCGAATCACTAAATTTATTTGATATTAATGTTTTTTCACATCTTATGTTGTTTAACAGACCTAAACCGGTCTAAATCTGTTGTTCAACTGGTCGAACCATACCATTTGCTAAATCGGCACAACGGTATAAACCGTTTGACAACTTTCCACCTCACGCATTTCCACTTTCTCATTCTCACCGGTATAAAACAGTTGTACCACCAGTTAAGGGTGACTATTTGGTCCGGATTTTTTGGTTTTACCCGCAATCGGACCGTATAACCCGGACATAGACTGGACCTGGACCGAATAGCAAACAATCCAATCTCGTCTTCGGGCTTAGATATGAGGTAAAAACCCGTTCGAGACCGGACCGAAACTCGGATAAAGACCGGATAAGAGAACCCAACATCCAAAACCTAACCAACTCCCACCCTTTCAGGCCTCGGACCACTCAAATCCCTACAAGATCAATCTAAAATCAAGACAGGAATGGAATCGGACCGGGTCAAAATCGGAATGGATCAAGACCGGACTGTATCCAATCCTGTCTTTGGTCCTCATATTCCCAAAAAATCCGGACCGGAACCGGAGCAATCCAAACCAGTTTATCCGGACCGTATAATCACCCCTACCACCAGTCGATCCATATCATATGCTAAACCATCACAACGATATAAACCAATTTGATAACCTTCCACCTCACGTCCAGATTCACTTTCTAGTTTCTACCTCTCTCTCTAAACATTCAAGACCAAACCTTCTATATTTTCAACATTGCCCTTCGGATATATAAATCCCTTGGAAAAATTAAAAGAAAGGTGGAAAACGGGGGATTCGTGGGACACTAGCCTACGACCCAGCCGAATACTACGAATTAGATGATAAAATAAAATTTGTCTACCGAATCTACCCTTCTCCCTGTGGCTTCTCTTCTCTTGTGAGCACCTTCCCAATTTCAGCTTCCTTTTAGGTTTTTGCCTGTTTTTTTTTTTGGTTTGTCAAGTTATTATTTGTTGGGTTCTTGATCGCTTTTATTAATTTCCACCATTATTTTGACCGTTTCTTAGACAGCAATTTGGAAATTTCTGATGCCTGGATTGATTTCTTGAAATCCTGCACTGGGTTGGGGGTTAGGGTTTTATCATCTGATGCTCTTTGCTTTTTTGTTTTTTTTTTAATTGAGACTACGATGATGATGAATTGTGGGTGAGACTGAGTCATAGTTGGGATATCCAATTTGTTTCTGCTCTTCGGTGTAAATTCTTGAACGATTCTTCGTCCGAAGAAGAAACAGGAGGAAGAAAGTAAATTCTGGAAAATTTCGTAATAAAGTAGAAAATATGTGGCCTATCTAGGTGATGGAGTTTCGATTAGGGTTAGGGTTAGATATTTAGATCTGCTATAATCAGCTTGAATCTTTTCCATCCTTCTTCTTGAGTTGGTACATCTGCAAAGAGCTGTCTATTCTGTTTGGCTGGTTCACAATCTGGGGAAGCTTTCGATTCAGCTGCTTTGACTGGAACCCAGGAAATATCTGGGATCACCATACTGTAAGCACTAATCTGTGCCTTTTTTTCGTCCTAACCATAAAAAAAATTTGGTCCAATCCGAGAAGATCTTTCTTTCAATTTTTTTCCTTTTGATGAGTGCCTTTCTTTTAGTTTTCCTTTTATATAATTGGGTCTAATTTAGAAAGTTCTTACACTGCCTGTTTGGTTTGAGATCCAGGGTGGATATGGGAATTTGATTTTTCAAACACTCAGATATTACTTGACGTTTGTGAAATTTGATCAGTCTTTTGCAACTTAATATGGTAGTTATTTTATAAATAATCTATGCTGCCAAATCCAATGTGTGTAGACCCAATAGGTTTGTTTTTGTTATTACTATTTTTTCCTCAAGAGGGTCTTGACTCTCGACTACCGAATTATTCACTGAGATTTGTTTTGATCTGATCATGCATGCATATCTTCTTGTTTGCTTCAATTCAGCGATGTCTCTTCAGAGCACATCCAGCGTTGCTGGTCACGATGAACATTCATCTGAGATGAGAGCTGTCATCTGACAAATGTTTTGGGGGAGTAATTAATTAGTTTGTCGGTCTTTTGCATAAGTTTCCAGCCAAAATTTTGTTGTGTATGTCAACCATTTGTTAGATAGACTGCCCTTCACCTCAGCAGCGTTCGCTTTGAAGTACACTTAAATCATAATATGTCAAATAACTAGGATAGGGTGTCTGTGATGTAGAAAACTCATTACACTTCTTCAGGCTGCATATACCGCGATGTTGAAATGGTGATGATGCTTCACAATTCAGACGTTCCATTCCATTTACATGAACTTTGTGATAATGAAATGGCGGCGATACTTCTTACTTTGGACTCATAGTTTATTGTGCTTGTATCCTTAGGTAGATGGGAACTGAACTCATGAGAGTCTGTGTTAAGGAAGAGAATGAAGAAGTTCCTGCAGTTCCTCCTGGATTCGAGTCATTCGCCCCATTTTCCTTGAAGAGGATAGAAGATGGGGGGAAGAGGGGAAGCCCAGATGGTGTTAGCTGTTTAGATGTTGCCAGAACTTCTGGGCTGCAGTCAGTGCAAGTAAAACCAGAGCCTTGTACAATTGATACAGCAGCAGAGCATGTTAGTCGAATTGCAGTAAGCACTTCAGCCTCAACAAGTGTCAGTGGATCGCAATCCATTCAGGTGAAAACTGAACCTCTAAATAGTGATGCCAATAAAATCACGAAGTCTCTTAGGCGTAAGCCTTGGATAAATCATGGGCATTCAGATCGCTGTACAGATGATGATCCTGGCGGCGTGGACGTTAATCTGGTTAGTCTTAGGAGACTGTACATTGCAGCTCTTTGTCTTGGAATACTAGTGATATAGGCTCTATTTTCCTTCAATATTTGCTACATGTCGGGCCTTACGACTATTTCTTTTGTTTCAGAATCCGAATTTAAGGACTTGTCTTCCAAAGGGTGTTGTTCTGGCCTTACCACAATTTGTTTTGTTTCAGAATCCCGATATAAGGACTTGTCTCCCTAAGGGTGTTGTTCGCGGCTGCCCACAATGCAAGGATTGCCAAAAGGTTAGTGTTATTTACTAAGGCAACCCTTTTTTTTATAATTGTTTTTTTTTGGTTCAGTCTGGTGCAGCTTCGTGCTGCATATGTTGGTAGAGAATTCAATTTTAACATCGCAACTCATTGACATCCTATATATGTTATGTACAACCATTGCTTATTCTGTTTGACCCTTTACCTAATGTCTTATATTCTGAAAGTCTGGTAACTAAAATCTGAGTCAACGGCACAGGTTACAGCCAGATGGCGTCCTGAATATGCTCACAGGCCTGATCTTGAGGAAGCTCCTGTGTTCTACCCTACAGAAGAAGTATCTCTTGTTGCTTATACTGTGTGTTTCTTCCTTTTTTATACCGTCAAGACATGAGATTGACTTTGTATTTCCTTTCTCTTTTCCTCTAGGAGTTTGAAGATACCCTGAAGTATATAGCTAGTATACGGCTTAAAGCTGAACCTTATGGTATCTGTCGGATTGTCCCGCCTCCTTCATGGAAACCTCCCTGTCCCCTCAAGGAAAAGAGTATATGGGAGGGCTCCAAATTTATAACTCGTGTTCAGAGAGTTGACAAACTACAAAATCGAGGTTCTATGAAAAAGTTATCCAAGTTCAATAATCACACCAGGAAGAAAAGGAGAATGTGTATGAGAATGACAGTAGATTGTGGGCCTGATATTGGGAGTATATCCGAGTCTGGTGATACTTCTGCGGTCGGCTTGGCTGAGACATTTGGGTTTGATCCTGGTCCAGAATTTGATCTGAGTACATTTCAGAAGTATGCAGATGATTTCAAGGCCCAGTACTTCAGGAAGGATGCAGATCTTGCAAACAAATCATCCTTTGTAAATTGGGAGCCTACGGTGGAGAATGTTGAGGGTGAATATTGGAGAATCATAGAGAAGGCTACTGAAGAAATCGAGGTATAGTTCCGAACAGCTGAATCTTGCGGCTACACAGGGCGTAGTTGTTCATGTTGCATTGTTCTTTTCGGACAAGAGTTGTGGGATGAATTGGTCCTTACTTGTTTCTTTATCTTTTATAGGTTCTGTATGGAGCTGATCTTGAAACTGGCGTTTTCGGTAGTGGGTTTCCCAAAATGTCTGGTGAAGTTGGTTCTGCCGTGCAGGACCAGTATAGTAAATCAGGCTGGAACTTGAATAACTTCCCAAGGCTGTCTGGATCTGTCCTGTCTTATGAAAGTGGTGATATTACTGGTGTACTAGTTCCTTGGCTATACATTGGCATGTGCTTTTCGTCCTTTTGTTGGGTAAGTCTTAGTTTACTTGTAGGCAAAACCTTAACCCATGCCATACAGCAGTATTAATACTGATGGAATTGATGAATTGTATGCATTCTGCTGTTTCATGGTGAGATGCATATTTGGGGTGTTATTTGCTTCACTTCTCCTTTGTCGGTATGATGATTGATGCACCTGCGCCTTTTATCTTGTTTTGTTTTGAGTGCCTTTTGAGCATGGCTTATTTGGAACTGTTTTGTAATCCTTCGGAAACTGTTCTTTTATTTTTATATATATTATAGATGCAAGTCCGTCGTGATTAAAGAATCTGCAAACGCCGCTCTACTGTACTGCTGTTAAAGCTGCTGAATGTTAGATCAGTCAATGGTTTTAGGCCTTTAACTTCTCTGCTGGCTTGCCATTGATTCTAGTAATGCGTAGTACACTTAATTCTTTGTTGCCGATTTTCATGACCTGATCGTGTTTTTTATTTCTATCTGGGGTGGCTGAATGCAGCATGTTGAGGATCATCACTTGTATTCACTTAATTATATGCATTGGGGTGCTCCAAAAATGTGGTATGGAGTACCTGGCAAGGATGCTGTAAAATTGGAAGAGGCGATGAGAAAGCATTTGCCTGATCTCTTTGACGAACAGCCCGATCTGCTTCATAAGCTAGTAAGAACATCTCTCCTGGCGGCTTTGTTAAATATCTCTATGTGGGTGGAAGAGATATATAAGTTAAAGCTGATACTCCAACCATTCTATGCCATTAAACTTGCTTATGCCTTGTAATCCATTTGTGTCAGCAGCAACTTCTAGGGCTAAGATGGTGTCTCAATCAGTCAATTGCAACGTGTTCCTCAACTACTTGTGCATTGACAACTTTTATTGCTTAAGTTGGACTTTAGGAGTGGTTTAGCAATAATCATGCTATTGTTCTTTTCTTTTCTGTTATTGTTGAGATTATCGATCCATGGTAGATAAAGCAAAGCTGATCACCAAGCTTGTGATTGAGTTGATAAGTGGATCTTTCAGCTGAACCAAGTTCTTGGATTGCAAGTTTGGGAATGTAACTCTGGTTTCTGGTCTTACCCAGCTTGAATTGAATTAAATTAGTAGTTTAAGAAAAGATATGGCTAAGCTACCTAACACAATTTAGTCAAACCATACATGCTTCTGGTTTATGGTGGATAAGTATGAAACTTCAGGATTGGTTCTATCCTAAGTTTCTGATGCTATATTTGATGTTTTATTTTGGCACATAGGTGACGCAGCTTTCACCATCGATACTAAAATCTGAAGGTGTCCCAGTTTATCGCTGTGCACAGAATGCTGGAGAGTTTGTTTTGACCTTTCCTCGGGCATACCATGCTGGTTTTAATAGCGGTTTCAATTGTGCGGAGGCTGTAAATGTAGCCCCTGTTGACTGGTTGCCCCATGGACAGATTGCGGTAGAGCTTTACCGTGATCAAGGACGACGGACATCCATTTCGCACGATAAACTACTGTTAGGAGCTGCAAGGGAAGCAGTGAAAGCTCAGTGGCAACTCAATTTACTGAAGCGGAACACTGCAGATAACTTAAGGTGGAAAGAAGTTTGTGGAAAGGATGGAATATTAGCTAAAGCACTTAAGGTAAATTTCGTCTTTCTTATGTTACGTTATAGCTGTTTTTAGCATGTTCGTGGGTGGTTGGTATTATATATTTGGGATTCCAGAAATCTGGCAGGTTTTGGGTATCACTATTATCATAAAGCAATCAGTGTGTTGAGTTCATCTTTTGACAGTCGCCATGCATGCATATATGAATAGAACCTGTTCTTCTTGTTTTTTATGTGTAGCCAAAATATTCTCTTTATTCCTCTTACGCTGATAATTTTGTATAGACACGCCTGGAGATGGAGCGGACAAGGAGGGCGATCCTCTGCAAGTCGTCGCAGACACTTAAGATGGCCAGCAACTTTGATGCAACTTGTGAAAGGGAATGCACCTTTTGCCTCTTTGATTTACACCTCTCTGCGGCAGGATGCCGGTGTTCTCCAGACAGGTACACATGTTTGAATCATGCGAATCAGCTGTGCTCATGCGCTCCAGGTGCCAGATATTTCCTCTTTCGCTATGAAATCAGTGAATTGGATATCCTTGTGGAGGCATTGGAAGGAAAATTGAGCGCAGTGTACAGGTGGGCAAGATCGGATCTTGGTCTAGCCCTCACTTCTCCTGCCGCTGGTAGGAAGAGCATTCAAGATGGTAAGGTGTCTCATTTTCCCGAAGCATCATTGTTAGTTAAAGCGATGAATTCACAATCAGCGAAGGATTTCGTGAAGGATACCAAGGAGAAAGGGATCTCTAATGATGTCACATTGGCATCAGCTAGAATTCTTGGTGATTCAACTTCAGATCACCAACAGAGACTACCTGAAACTGTATCTGGCAAAGATGTGAAGGCATCGTCAGCATCCTGCAGTCCTCAAGCAATGGAGAAGGGAGTCATCAGATTAACCTTGAGAAAAAGACCCAGTATTTTGTCTACAGAAGCAAATATGTCTATACCAGGTTTAACCACGCAAGAGGTGTCCTGTCCTGTGGATGTTTCAGGGAGGTCTGAAGCACGAAAATCCTCGAATTTGGTTCACGATGAAGTTATTTTTCTTAGTGATGATGAGGGGGTTACTCCAAAAAAGGAAGTTCTGGAAAGAGCCAAGGGGAAAGAAGACTTTCGCACTAAGCATTCGGACCTCTCTGATAAGCTATCTTGTTCAGGTGATAGCCCATGTAACGACCATGACTCTCCCAATGCTGCTGCTGCACCTGTTGTGAGAAAGGGCTCCATTTGCTCATCCTCCAATAATAGTCAAAGTTTAAGCAGTGCTGCTGTGACGGTGAAGGAAGAAGAGTCTCATCAAAGCCCTGGGGCAGTTTTGGAATCTTGTAATCAACCTAATAGTTGTCTAATTGGTTCAAGTACTACAGGATTTGGTAGGGGTATTGTGGATTCTCTCCATTCAAGTGAAACAACCTGTAATGGTGACAATATAGGAGATGCTGGCAGCCGGCAGCCGAATCAATATAGCCATGGAAAATCTAGCTATGAAGATAGGATGATGGGGATAAGTGCAACTTCTAGTCCTATGGACTTGACTAAGACTACAACAGTGAGTCCATCTTGCTTGCAGAGTAATTTGGATCGTTGTTTGCGCCAGAAGGGCCCCCGTATTGCTAAGGTCGTGCGCAGGATAAATTGCAATGTCGAGCCTCAGGAGTTTGGAGTTGTTCTTTCTGGGACTACTTGGTGTAACAGTCAGGCAATTTTTCCCAAAGGTATGCTGCGTGAATTGTGTTAGTTAGAATTTGTAGTCAATAGTCCTCTGGCGGTGCTAGTGAGGAATGATCGGCTGTTTGTGCTTAACTATTTTTATCTGATGCAGGATATAGGAGCCGGGTTAAGTATATCAGTGTCTTGGATCCAACGAGTATGTGTTACTATGTCTCTGAAATCCTGGATTCTGGAAGAAATGGACCATTGTTTATGGTAATTTTCTTCTCGGTGGAGCTTTAAAACTAGACTCATATTTGATTTTATATTCATTCCGACTCAACTGTCCAACAAACTAGTACGGTTCAGAGATGCACAAATGTTAAATATCAACTGAAGGGTTTCAAGGGGGGTTTTGGAATGAAAAGAGAGCTTTTCATATATCTGAATAAAAAGGAAACAAGAAGATTCTTTCTTTGTTGTCCAGATGATCTAATAAGTTCTGAATATATGAACATAATTTTCAGGTGTCCCTTGAGCAGTGTCCAGCGGAGGTATTCGTTCACATTTCGGCTACCCGATGTTGGGAAATGGTGAGAGAGAGGGTGAATCAAGAGATAACAAAGCAGTATAAAATGGGTAAACCAAATCTTGCTCCCTTACAACCTCCCGGGAGCCTAGATGGCTTCGAAATGTTTGGGTTCTCATCCCCTACAATCGTCCAGGTAAAGTTTGTTAAACTGTCTGCTCTGTGTTTTGCTGCCGAAAAAGAGACTTGTCGGATAGGTTCTTAACAGTGTTAACCTCCTGAGGATTCACTGCTTGTATTGCTGTTTAACGTTCAAGTTAAAACTTATTGAACAGGCAATCGAAGCATTGGACCATGACAGAGTTTGTACAGAGTATTGGGACTCGAGGCCCTATTCGCGGCCGCAAGGGCAGATACCACGTCATTCTCTAAGTCAACCAGCCCAGAAACCAAGTAACGGGGGAGCTGATGGTGAGGTAGATGAGATACTGAGAGGGGTATTCAAGAAGGCAGACCCCGAGGAACTAAGCAAACTCAATCGTCTTTTGAATCAAATGACGCCGCCAACTTCTGATAATCGAGACTTATTAACCAAACTTGTTAATGAAGAGATTCAAAACCGTTCCAATGGGAGGTAATTTTGATTGATGAATCAGGTCTTGTTCGTGAGCAATTTCAGAGGAGGCCGAGGATGTGACAGCGACCCGTTTGTAGCGTTGTAGGGTTCTTTTCTTTTGTTCTTTCTCCTTCTTTTGGCTGACTGTAAATACACATCTCGCCTTTCCAACTCATACGGGCTCAATTCATTTCTTCCATTGAAACACGGTTTTCTTCCACCGGTGGCAAATTTCAAGAGGAGACAAAGCACAACCAGATTGAAAGTTTCCGTTTTGAGGGCCACACCGCAGGATTTTAGACCATTCACAGTTTCACACGGTGCTATGCTGACTGATCCTATCTCAAGTAGATCATTGCCAACGTCTTTGGTGTTCTGTTCAGACTTCAGAAAAATTACCTCCTGTCATTCTACTGCTCTATTGGAGATGGGAGGTGGATTTATCAGAAAATGAAATTTGGAACTCATTTAAACAAGCTAGCCAAAATTATGAATTTATGATGTTACCAAAAAAATTTGATATTGATTTTACTATAAAATTTGTGAAACTTAAAATCTTATAAATCCCATTTTTTTATTAGAAGTTATACTAGAGTCACATGGGCGTCCTTTTTTTTTTTTTTTTTGCCATAGGTATCCCAAAAGGGAAACGACAAGATACGAGTTCATAAGGACCTTTGCAAGTCGAATCATAAAACAGAGGAAAGGAAGGAGCGTTGGTCGACCATAAGGCGATCCAATGATAAGAGGGCATGTTTTGCCACGAAATGGGCAGCCCTATTACACCTACGAGGTGCGAAGTGGAACGAGACACGCTAAAGAGAGAAACGAAGGGTCTGGACCTCGGATAAGAGAGCACCACCCAGAGCGTGCGACGTATCCTTCGCGGTGACCATCCGTATGATCACCTGCGCATCACCACAGAAGCTTACATTAGTAATGGAATGAGATAAGCACCATCGGAGGGCATCTCTCAGAGCTATAAGTTCAATGAGGAAGGGGTCACTTATAAAATCATAGAAACGCCCAAATGCAAAGACCACTGATTGATTTCCCGAGAATCCAACAAAACCAATAGCTCCACCCACTGAAGCCTTGGTAGCTCCGTCAAAGTGGACAAGTGTAGCTCCGGATGGGATGGTCGGTGGTCCTGGGTTCTGACTCATAGGGGGAATAGGAGAACTACGACGGGATTGGGCAGCGACTTCTTGGGCGGAAGTCCATTCAGCAACTTGGGATTCCATCTGGCGAAACATTGTTGAAGGAAGAAATTGGGTGTTGTCGTAAGCTGTCGAACATCGAGATTTCCAGATCCGCCAATACAGGAATACTAGTCGGGTGATGGTAGCCACAGGAATATCTGCATCAAAGAAAAACCACCTCCAACCAATAGCTATATGGCAATGAGCAACCTGCACACGCAAATAAGTTAGACCCACCAATTCCCATAGTTCCACCGCTACTCTGCAATGGAGAAAGGTATGCAGGAGAGTCTCCGGGCCCGTAGAGCAAATGGGACATATAATTGCCTCTACATCATCATCATCAATAATCTTTTTATCACGCAGAACATCTTTCAAAGGAAGAAAACCTTGGATTAGTCTCCACATGAAGAAACGTAATTTGGGAGGAACCGGAAGAGCCCAAAGGAATTTCCAAGATTGGGGATCAAACACAATGGGGATGGTAGAAAAATCTCGAATAAACTCTTCAGAGGCTATCTTATATCCAGATTTCACTGTATACATACCTGATTTTTCATAGTGCCACACAAGTCGGTCTTGTACCGGGAAAATAGGGAGTGGAATACTTCGGATAGTCTGAACTGTAGTTGCATCAAGTAGTGAGAGGAGAAGTTGTACCTTCCAGGAGCCAGAAGAGTGGTCGATGAGGCAAGATACGTGTGGAGAAGGAGGAGACACATGTGGCAATAGCTTCGGGGATGAGGGAGGGGTAGTCGGGAGCCAAATATCTTCAGTAATATGAACTGAAATTCTTGATCCAATCGACCATCGAAGTCCTTTGAGCAAGAGACTTCGCCCTATAAGGATTCCTTGCCATGCCCAAGACGGACGATTTTCTTGTGGAGCGTGCAAAAATGAAAAATAAGGGAAGTAACGACCTTTGTAAGTAGAAGCTAGTAGGCTCTCCGAATTTTGCAGAATTCGCCATGCCTGTTTTGCTAGTAGGGCAACATTGTTGCTATCTAAATCACGAAACCCAAGCCCTCCTGCTATCTTTGGCCGACATAGAGCTCTCCAAGAAGTCCATTTCATCCCACTCTCACGATCCTGTTGCGCCCACCAAAAACGTGCCAAATGGCCATTAAGCCGCCTACAAAAGAGGGAAGGAAATCGAAAGCTAGACATGGCATATATAGGAGAGGCAAAAGCCACAGACTTGAAGACTATTTCTTTAGCTGCTAGTGACATGGATTGTGATTTCCAATTCTGTAACCGATGTAACATTTTATCTTCTATATATTGGAATGTATGCTGCTTGGAGCGGGCTAAACGAACAGGTAGGCCGAGATAACGATCATCTTCACCACTTGCAGATACTCCTAAAATTGTCATTATCTCCTGCGCTTCTCTACTCGAGACATTTGCACTGAACAAGGCTGTTGATTTGTGAAGATTAACCTTCTGTCCACTAACTTGCTGATATGTGGAGAGTAAGACGAGTAGATTTTGGCATTCAGGAATAGATGCACGGAGGAAGAGGTAAGAATCATCTGCAAAAAAGAGATGAGAGACTACCGGGCAACGCCTTTGTATCTTGAGGCCATGAAGAAAATTACTTTGCACTGCTTGGTTTAATAACGCCGAGAACGCCTCAGTATAAATGGCATATAGAAGAGGGGATAAGGGATCTCCCTGGCATAAGCCACGTTGCGGATGGAAGTATCCATGGGGAGAGCCGTTGACTAGGACCGAGAAGGAGACAGTTGTAACACACTCCCAAACCCACTTTAGCCATTGGTCTGTAAATCCAAGTCGCTTCATTACAACAAATAAGAACTCCCATTCAACTCGATCGTATGCTTTTTCCATGTCAAGTTTGAGCGCCATCCACTTTTCTTGTCCCTGTGATTTAGTTTTAAGAAATTGTATTACTTCCTGAGCAAGTAAGATTTTGTCTGAAATCAGTCTAACCTTAACAAAACCATTCTGGTAGGGTCCTATGACATGGGGGAGAACTTCTTTAAGTCTTGTTGTTAGGATTTTTGAAATGATCTTATAAGGAACCTGACATAGGCTAATGGGGCACATCTGCTGCATGGTTTTTGCATTGGGGACCTTGGGGATCAGGGTCACCCAAGTATGATTCAAATTGGGGAGGAGGTGGCTTGTACGGAAGAATTCCAAGATAGCAGCAGTAACTAAGTCCCCTACTTGTCCCCAAAAGGACTGAAAAAAGAGGCCCGTAAAGCCATATGAGCCCGGGGCTTGAGAGCCCCCTATGCTGAAAACAGCAATGCGAATTTCATCACGAGATATTTGAGAGGTTAGAATACCATTAAGTTCGGGAGTAAGTACGTTATGCAAAACCAAATTATTCATAAATTGGGCAACTTGATTGGCCTCTGAGGTGGATAGGTTTTGGAAGTAGGCAACTGAGATCCTACCTTTGGAGCCCTCGTCAGTGACGATGTTCCCTGATTCATCCTTCAGTTGGAGGATACGATTACATCGACGTCTTCTGAGGGTTGTAAGATGGAAGAATTTTGTATTGGAATCACCCTCGTTTAACCAACCGATGCGAGACTTTTGGTGCCAGTACTTTTCTTCCTCGATAAAAGCAGTAGAGAGTTGTTGTTCGAGGGTAGAAATTGTAGCCCAATCAATTGGGAATCAATTAAAAGGCTGGGATAATTTCTATAAGTCTATTGGGAATCAATTAAAAGGCTCCAAAGGGACAAAAATCTTAGTACAGAAGCGCTCAAAGTATAGTATAGTATAGGATCTTTTGCTGTTAAATGTTCATAGAAAGAGATAGGAATCTCATTTAGGCGGCTAGCAGCCTGCCAAAGGTTCCAATAAACAGGAGACCAAATCCAAGCCTTCCGGCATTCGTATGAGTTACCATACGAGGTAGATTCTTGTTGAAGCGTAATTAGGAGAATGCCGGAAGGCTTGGATTTGGTCTCGAATTTAGTGGGTGGAATTGGGACACAAAGGCCTATCTACTATGATTAAATGGAGCCCAGATTAAGCGTAATTATTTCTTTCAAAATAGCTCCCCAACGATTTAAAGAACAGATGCCCCAACGAATTCACATCTCAAAGACATGTCAGGCACAATGCCACTCCTCCACGCCACGAGTCGTCAAACCCTCTAATGTGGGGAGTACTCGTCGTATAATTTGCCATAGAAAAAAATCTTAGCTTAGGAGGAATCAATGCTCCCCAAAGTTTGCTAAAAAACCCTTTATCCCAAAGCCGCACTCATGGTTTAGTGCCAACCTCTCGACATCATCATAAGTCCATAGCTAAATGGTATCATGATCTAACCGAGTACACCCCAGACGCTGCATTATGCCAAACTAGCTTATCAGAAAGCATGACTACAGGTAACAGTATGGCTAGGATGTGAGAAACCGTACCCTCTAGGAAGAGCTAACGTAGCCTATCCACACACCACGAGCCCCTATGCGAAGAAATAAGTCTGGCAACGTACCCATGAGCACCCCTCTATTAAGGCTTTAGACTAGGTGTGAATGGATGTAGCCTAAGAACCCAGTTCGCCTAATCAAAAGTAATCTGCTCGCTCGAACCAACCTGCCAATTCAGTCCTTGAAGCAGCATTTCACGTCCATGGAGGATTCCTCACCAACACGGGAAGGAAGTGAGCCAGGCTGCGCTACCAAAAAGAAAGCGCTTGGGTATACCGTCCTTTATGAAGCCGAGTGAGTAAAGAGTCGGGCTCTATCAACAACCTCCAAGAAAATTTATCAAGAAGAGTATGGTTAAACTCTTCAAGTCGCCTAATCAACCTTCAACTTTGCTAAGGCACGACTTCTAGGATAACCAATGAATTTGCGTTAAGCCTGTTTAGCCTCCACAAAAAATGTGCAGGTGCTTGTCCAAACCCCTGCATAGTGTTTTAGGCAGCTAAAAACATGACATGACTTGAATAGGGAGAGTATTGACCACCGCCTTTAACAAGACCTCCTTGTCTACCCATGACAGACACCATTGTTTACATCGTTGCAACCGCTGAATGACCTTTCCTTCATAAATCAAATTTTTTAAAACTTAGATCTCTCCACCAAGGAAGGAGAATGAATGATAACTCTCAAATTATAGTGTTCATCATTCCCATATATGATACATTTCCCTCTTCTATTAATGCATCTTTAGTATATGTTGTCAAATTTTAGGTAGAAATCATGACTATGTGGTCAATATGCTTTTAATATACCTAAATGTGTATTTGTATAATTTTAAGCCTTTTTTGTATTATTTTGTGCTTTT